AATTCTCCTGCATTCTGTTTTTTCCTTGAGCTACGTTACTTCTTATTGATAAATAATTCAATATTATGCTTGTACGCTATAACACGCGGTACATCCTGTACAAAAACCGATAATTATCATCAAGCGAAACCATGAAATAATTCAGATAAAATATTTCATACAAAATTGCTGATACGTAGAATTAATTTCTCTGTCTCACTTTGTCTCTCTCTCTCACACACACACACACGCACACACTTTATGTAAAGTAGATATTGAAACTTGTAAATAAAAAATTATATCAAATAGCAATACCTACTTATTGGTTCAGTCCATATATGTCCATATTCTATTTATACATATAAATTTCATGAAAAGGTAACGCGGCTCTCAAGCGTTTAACGCCACGGCAGAATGAATTTAAACGGTGTTGTTAGTTCGCCGAGTTCGTGCATTAACTACAGCTCCGTTTCCCCCTCCCCCCGCCCTCTCACTCTCTCTCTCTCTCGCTCTTCCTCTCGCTATCTCCCTCTTTCTCTCATTGTTTTCATCTCACTCCAACCATCGGGCCTTTTACATCTCACGGTCGTCGTAAATCTCTTTGGTAGAAGAGAGTGTTGGCTACGAGGTGCATCCTACCTCTCGTCCGTTCGTTGCAACAACGTTGAACCCGTCAACTACGTCCGCAAAACTTTATAAAGTGTTCGCAGGGGGCAGGAAAAAAAAAAGAAAAAGAAAAAAAAATGAGAAAAAGAGAGAGAGAGAGAGAGAAAGAAAAAAAAAAGATAAAAAAGAAAGAGAGATAAAAAAAAAACAGAAGGGAAGACAAAGTCAGAGTTCGCAGGTTTGGAAGTTAGGAGATTGGAGGAAAAGAGAGAGAGAGAGAGAGAGAGAGAGAGAGAGAGAGAGAGAGAGAGAGAGAGAGAGAAAGAGAGATACGCCAAAGGTAAACGTGGCACGCGTTTGAAAGGAGGGGGTCGTAAGGTTGGGGGTTGATTCTGGAGGCTCAAGAAAACTTTTCAATCCTACGTCCCTTGGTGGCTCGCACAGTCTAGAACCTTCAGCTTTTTTCGCTTCGTTGAACACGTCCGGCTACGTACGTCACTTTCCTCTTTCTCTTCTCTCTCTCTCTCTCTCTCTCTCTCTCTCTCTCTCTCTCTCTCTCTATCTCTCTCTCTATCCGGCATCTTCTTTTTTAGCTCACCGCACGAGAGCCACTTTCAAATTGGGCACTCCGCCAGAGAAGTCAATATTTCGTTGAGGAAACGCGTCTCAGTATAATGATCGTTCTTTTCTCTCTCAAAGCTTTTCTAAAATGAGAGAGAGAGAGAGAGAGAGGTTCATAGTTACTTTGTTCCTCGAATTGTCATAAAAAAAAAAAAAGAAGTATGATTTCAATTATCTGTCGATGAAATATCACATAGAATTCATCCTATTCCTTTCACTAAAACACATTATAGTTCTCTTACTCTCAAAATTAATCAAAAAGAATTAAATAAATGTATCTTTTATACGAAAGTAAACAACGTACGATGATAACCTACTCGATATGATATTCTACTTTTATGAGGGAACAATAATGGAATGAATACTTTTTAATTTTTCATTAATGATATATCGTCTTAGAAGGAAGCTGCATCTCTCTCTCTCTCTCTCTCTCTCTTTCTCTTCTTTTCTCTATTCTATTTCATCGAACATAGTAAGTAACTACTTGTCATTTACTGACACATCTGACCGCGAATGCATCTTAATGAGAAGTGCTGCGGTATGCACAGACGCAATTAATGTCCGTCTCACTTACTCTTCCTCTGACTATCCCATTTACTCTCACTATCTCCCTCTGACTATCCTTCCATCTCCCTCTTCTTCCCTTTCTCTCTCTCTCTCTCTCTCTCTCACTCTCTCTCTCACTCTCTCTCTTTTTCACCCTTATCCTCCCTTTTACGAAAATGAACTAAATGACAAAAATCTTGATGATTTGATAGTATTCATACGATTTTTGACCTATTAATCATAATACCCACGATAGAGAATTATATAATCTCTTTTAAATGATTTAATAATTAATCAAATTAATAACGCATCAATTTGAAAACTGAATGATTTCATATCTTTTTCTAATGTTCGACATTTATATAATTTTTCAATAAAAATGTCATAATATCGAAGTAAAGCTAATTATATATATATAAAAACATACATGCTCGCGCGTACACACACACACACACACACGCACACACAAATACACATTGTCTCATTTATCACGAAAAATCGGAATATCTTCTAAGAAATTAAACTAACATAAACAATTCTTTTACAGATTTGTTGAATACGAAGGAATACATCACATTATGCCAGTTATCTTTTTTCTTTTTTGGAACTCAAGCGATGGAAAAAATCTCAAAGTCAAATTCATTTTTTAAAGTTGAGAATAATCTGATAAGACAAATACAACAACATGCCACATGTGAATATCTACTATCATAAAATATTACAAATTATACTATAAGTTTATAAATTATATTGTTATAAGCATAATATAAATTATATTGTTACAAACATAATGTAAATTATATTATGATAAATAAAGATTGAACTTCTTAATAAATAAATTTCGTTTAGTTATATCTGTAATTCGAGAAATATATAGAAATATAAGAAGTTCATTCTTTGTTAACAGTAAGTATTAGTACATAAATATTATACAATAGTATTATATAGTATTATATAATAGCGCAATTTATAACATAATGAAAATATTCATATAATTATCAAATGCAATGTATTCATCATGTAATATTAATAAAAATACAAATAAAAATGTTTAACTCGATAAAAAATCCAATGTATTCTTTATTAAATCCTACTACTCTTATCCTTATTCAAACAATTCATCGTTCTATTTCAAATATTCGACAAAGCGTAACTATTCAAGTAAATCAAGATTTGTATCAGGATCACAGAATGCGGAAAGAGGTGGCACACAAAATCGTGCCACCTCCTGGCAAGCAATTATCTCCTGTTAAAAACTTTAAATTACGGAGAGCGTGAAAAAAATTTCCCGCAAATCTGAAATTGTATCAGGATTACATGACGCGAAAGGAGGTGGCACGCGAAATCGTGCCACTTTCTGATAAGTTATGTTCTCCTATTCAAAAAAAGCAAATTCTGGACAACGTGAAAATTTTGCACGAAAAACGAGATCGTGTGTCAGGATAACATGATGCGAAAGGAGGTGGCATGCGAAATCGTGCCACTTCTTGGTAAGTTATATTCTCCTATTCAAACAAAAATCAAATGACTGACAACGCAGAAAAAATTTCCTGAGTTTTGTGTCAAGATCATATGACGTGTAAAAATGTTGCCATGAATGTGGCAAAGTTATGCCACTTCATAGTATGTTCTCTTATTTTTTGGAAAAGAGTGTAAAGTGACAGGATTTAATGAAAAACACATTGGATTTTTTCATATTAAATATTTTTATTGGCATTTTTATTATCAATGAATAATCAATACATTATATTGGATAATTATATAAATATTTACTTTATCATATAAATTGCAATATAATACATTATAATAATACTATATACAATAGATAAACTTCCTTCTTGCTTTTCAAACTACAAATGAAATAAATGAAATTTATTTCGTCAGAAGTTTAGCCATTATTTACAAAATGCAATCTATAATATAATTTATAAACTTATAATATAATTTATAGTATTTTATAATAGTAAATGTCTTCATGTGGCATGTTGTTGTATTAATCCCATTTATTCCCATTAATCCAGATATTATCAAATTATGAAAAGAAATATATATATATATATATATATATATATATATATATATTTGCCTTTGAAATTTCTTCCATCGCATGAACTTCAAAAAAGGAATTGACATCAGATGATATGCCCTTCGTATCAAATAAATCGATAAAAAGTAGTTTTCACTACATCACAGGATATAACAATTTTTCAGGATAAATGGGCTACGTTATTTGCATATAATTAATATAAATCTGATATAAATATTTATATCTATATACTTTAATAACATTAAAATTATTGAGAAAAGATTAATAGTAAAAAACAAAACAAAACAAAACAAAACAAAACAAAAAAGAAAGAAAAATACAAAACAATAAATGAATCGATTAACAAGTAAGATTCGTGATTAGAGGGATTATTACACGAAGAGAGACGTGCATTATATCAAATCGATGATGTTAGCCCGTATTCGAAATCTAGCATACACAGACGATCTCTGATTGAAACGCGGCAAGTAATTTCCGGTTATTTGGCGCATACGGTTATGGTTAGAATGCTCTGCATTAGGCTGTCGGCCATGATGCCAACAACATTTGATACGACGACACGAAACACCGTCCATCCAGCACAATTCATTTCCACTCGATGCATACGTGCCTATTGATACGGACGGAGTGAGGACCAAGTTCCGAGAGAGGCAGAGCAGAGAGAGAAAGGGAGAGATAGAGAGAGAGAGAGACAGAGAGAGAAAGAGGGAAGGAGAGAGAAAGAGAGAGAAAAAAGAGAGAGAAAGACAAGAGATGAGAACAGAAGAGAAGCTTCATTTTACGTTGCAATCTCGAGCAACCGGTGAATGAAGATGATGCTTTCATCGATGTTATCTCGTCGTTGAACGTTCAGATGATAGCCTATTTTCTTCTCGAGAGTTCCTTGACGAGGAGAAAAAAATGTCTCTTTCGATGTATGCGTGTTTGATTACTACTGTATATCACAAGCTTGGCAGTCGTTAAGTGAAATAATATATATATGTATATATGAGTTATTTCTTCTTTTTTCTTAAGGTAATACAAGTCCATTGACCTTTAATATTATAAAAAATTCACAGAAGGTATTTTAATTTAACATTTTATTGGATTTAAAAGAAAGAAGAACGAATTGATTTACTCATATAATTATCAAAAAATAATTGCTCGATTATGTAATACGCTTTGTATAAATATTAATCACACATATAATAAGATAACTTACGTTTATAAGATCCAACTTCTCGTCGTCCAATCTGCAACAAAAGGATGTAAAATGTGTGAGCAAAGAAACGTAAAATCGTGATGAAATTCACAGGTTTGAAGGGATTTAGAGAATGAGTGGGGGAGAGAAAATTGACGTTCGAAATATAATGTAATAAAGTTAAGTCTTGATAACATACAAGGTGACTCTTATTCGACAACCAACCCCGACTAGTATAAAAGCAGGAGACCGTTTTGGTTCTCTAGCGTTAACCAGCCAATTTTGAAAGTTCGCGGTGAATCAACGGACAAACTAATTTACCAACTAATTTTCGAAATAGGAATTCCAAATGAGAAGGTCGCCCGACGCGTTTTGGATGCACGGATACCTAACTCCACTCACAGAAAACTACTTTTGAAAGACAAGTTACATCGTGACTCTTCCAACTCACTTTCTCTCTCTCTCTCTCTCTCTCTCTCTCTCTCTTTATTTCTCTATATCGCTTTAAATGCGTGATATCTTCGTTTATAAGCCAAAGGTTGAACGAGTACTAAATATTAACTTATTTCGTAAAAGTTATATAAAGAAAAATAAATTTTAAACGTAAACATCTGGAAAGACGCGATATGAACGATTACGTATAACGAGACACCATATATATATATATATATATAAAACCAAACTCTAATAAATCTTTATTGTTTTAGATTGTTATCCATGGAATCGATCGATCTAACGATATTTTGATTTTATAAGATTAATTCGATGTTTTTAAATTGCTCCTTTCTATTTCAGATATAAAAAAAAAAAATTCTAAATTCTTTCGGAAATTTGTTACGTATAACTTAATACCCATAATAAATGAGTAATTTATTAGAACTCGATTTCGAACGGGCAAACTCGACGTTTGTTAATCAAGACAAATGATGTCTGACTAAAGCAAATCGTATCTTCTTCCTTCTAACCCATACTTCACCTTCGTTCGTCCTCGATGAGGCGGTTTCCTTCTTAAACAACTAATTCCTCGATTAACATTTTAATTATCTCGCACGAGACACGAAAGTTCGAGAGAACGTTCCCTTAAGCCTTAACGAGGGAAGAAGATTAGAGTGTCGTTAGGGTAGGCGAGCCTACCTTCTTCTTTCTCTCCCTTTCTCTCCTCATCACCCATCTTCCATCTCTTATAGTCGTCCGCGAATCTAATTTGGGCTTAACGTAGCGCGATATGAGTCCTCGGGAATAATTTGTCGCGCGGCTCCTTCAACGTCAAGGAGAACGAATTTACAAATAACTTTGAAGAGAAACCTTCAAGAATCCTGCAAATTCGGTGAAAAAGACAACAAAAGTCTTAAGACTTAATTAGACTTAATATATATATATATATATATATATATATGTATTACACTACTGCATTATAAATTGTAATAGAAACGACGCGATATATAAATTTATTATTATTATAAATATGTCTGTCAAATTTTTCTCCAGTTTAAAATACAAATTGTGTATATTCTTCTTATTTATGATATCTTCTTTTATACGATATATAAAATAAAAATGTCATTCTTATGTATAAAAAAAAAAAAGGATCTTTTTTTTGTATTGTTTTTTTTTTCACTTTTTTTTCTTTTTTTCTTTTTTCTTTTTTCTTATTGAATTAATCCCTTCTTATAATCTTTCTACTTTCGTATACGGCAATTTTCTATGGGCAAACACGAAAGGACGATTATTCTAATATACATGACAGAGACAAATCACTTAATATTCGTCATACGCGTCATACTCATGATATATTAGAATCCGCTAAAGCGGGCTACGCTCGATGCGTTAGCCGCAACTCGAATACGTAGATACGTACGAACGTAGTACGTAGATACATGGGTAGGTAAGCGCTGGGGTGACGTAGGTATATAGGTATATATATATATATATATATATATATATATATATATATATATATACACGTTCACTACGGTTAAATGGATAATCGAAATTGCCCTTAATCGTCGCACGAATATTCGCAGGTACGCTTTAATAGATCCACGATGGATAATGCAAGGGGATCTCCTAGCAGTCTGTTATAAAAATGATCAAAGATCAAATTAAATTATCAATTATCGATTCTCTTATCTCGATTTTAATCATTTAAAGATGAAAGAAAGAATAATTCAAGCGAAGCGAATTTCAAGCTATCGAATCAGAGAAGATCTACGTGTATATTTACATAAAGCACAAAATGTTTCTCGATAATACGAGAGAGAGAGAGAGACAGAGAGAGAGAGAGAGAGAGAGAGAGAGAGAGAAAAAGAGATTCGATTATCGAATCTCTCTATGGAGTTTTCTTTTCTATGTTATTCCTTTTTTCTTTTTTCATTTTTCTACGTTTTAAAAGCAATCCCATCCATCTACCCTCGAGCAAAGTTAAAGGCGAATTTTCACGAGGTCCATCGCGAAGACTGTCTACTCCGCCCCCCCCCTCATCCCTAACGCAGGGTCACAGCACGTAAAGTACACAGTAAAGAAATGGGTCGCTCTTGGATGGGACGAGGGTTAAGGTATAGTTGTAACTAGAGAGTTGGCTTATCTTACACGAACTCATTTTCTCTGTTATAAAAGCGAGCGACAGATAGAAAGATAACTATGTCTCTGTCTCTCTCTTTCTCTCTCTCTCTCTCTTTCTCTCTCTCTCTCTCTCTCTTTCTTTCGTCGATTGTAGAGATATAATATCCGATCGTAGACGTGATTTTAAAGCAAATCTTTCTTCATAGAAATTGTCGCGAATGAATGAGACAAGATAAATTCAAAAAGAGTGGGGAGGGGGAGGGGGAGGGATGGTAAACAGTATCTTCGATTCGGATTCTTTTAATTCTCAAATTTTTTACCACCCCCCCCCCCCCTTAAATATTCCTTTGTTCGAACGAAATTTTCGAACTTATCGATAAGATAAAAAAAAAAAAATAAATAAATAAATAAATTATATAATTATATACAGAAAGATTTATATAAAATACTATTTGTTTCATTATTACTTGAAACTTGTTTCTTATCAAATAAAAGATAGCCTCTATTTTCTATATTTCAATATATTAAAGGTGAACTTAAAAAAAAAAAAGAAAAAGAAAAAGAAAGAATTTCGAAATGAAGACAAAAGAAAATGCGATTAAAAATTACGCAACAATTTACTTTCTTTTCGCTCACTTTTTATCATCTTCATTTAGTTACAATCTTTTTCCTCTCTCTCTTTCTCTCTCTCTTTTTATATACCTATCTATCTATCTATCTATCCATCTATCCTTTTCTCTTTCTCAAACATACTGAAGTTTTTCTCCCAACCCATTCTCGTCTCGACCAGCCGAGCAATTTGCAGTTCTGCCGGGTGGTGATTAAGATGCTTAATCTGTAGCCGAGCAAATGGTCTATCCCGTGCCACCTCTCCTTTCTCCCCTTTTCCTCTTTCATGTCTTTCTCGCAAAGCTTGAAAGTTAAAAAAAAAAAAAAAAAAAAAAAAAAAGAAAGAAAATCCTAAAGTTTCAGAAATACATCTCTTTATCTTTTTTACCCTTTTGGTTTGAAAATTCTACGTACATATATATATATATATATATATATATATATATATATATATATATATATACGTACGTATATTTACTTACATACGTTGGAAACACGCAATGCTAGCCATAAAATATTTTAGGATCGTTTACCCTCTTTGAGGGGAGAAAAAAGAGGAAGCAAAAAGAATAATGCAATTTTTATGAAGAACATTAATATCGCAATGTAATTTTAAAGTTACACGCTTATATAGATGCCTGCCGTATTTGTTTCTTTTTTCTTCCTTTTTTCTTTTACTTCTTCTTTTTTCCTTCTTAATTTCATCTCATTTTTTCTTGTCACAAAATCAATTATTAATCGTCACGTATTAAAATGTTTGCTAAAAGAAAAAGAAAGAAAAAAAAGAAAAAAAGGAAAAAAAGAAATATGAAAAAAAAATATGAAAAAATATTATATTTAATAAATATTATATATGTGATAAAACCGTAAACATTACAATCTAAAGAGCTATGTTTTTCTCTTATACTTCATTTTTTCCAAAGTCTTATGACTTATTACTTCTTTTTTTTTTTCTTTTTTTTAGTTCTTGATCATTCTTACCTCTATCCTCTACCCTCTAGCCACACACACACACACACACACGCACACAAAAGAGTAGCACATTGACCCTACGCTTTCGCCATTGTTGGTTTTAGCTATACGCGCTTTACGACTTTTCTTTCTAGCTAATCTAAACACTCGAAAGAAAAAAAAAAAAAGAAAAAAAAGCAATAAGCGCAACGACACATGAAAAATATCCTTAGTTTCGCAAAACTTTTATAATTAATAGAATATATATTATATTAATACAAGTTACATTATAACATATTTATAAACATGGAAAAAAAAAAAAAAGAGAAAATGAATCATCGTTTAACATATAAAATATAAAAATATCAATCGTAATAGCAATTAAAATAAATTCTTCAAATCGATAGACGCAATAAACAAATAATATTACAAATGATCGTTGATACGAAAGCAAAGATCCTTAACGATTAATCCTCATTTATCCTTATATCTAATACATAGGCAGTTTACGTATAGCGTTATGTTCATTAGTTAGCCACGTTATTACGGCAATATTTGCATTGCCTATCCATAAACTGTTCAGTGATAATCAATCGTTAATTTGGTAACGAACCTGATCTCTGTTGAAAAGCAACCCTTAGATAAGAGCTAACCATAGAGACGATAAATTAACCATGAAGCCTTTTAACGCGTCATCGCCATAGTCGTCGTAGTCATCGTAGTCGTAGTCATCGTAGTCGTCGTAGTCGTCGTCGTCGTCGTCGTCGTCGTCGTCGTCGTCGTTGTCGTCTATCTTGAAAATTGACTCTTCTACAACAACGTGTTCATGGAAGCGTTGACTTAGGATAATTACGAGGCCAGATGAGAGTATGATAATTAGTCGTGAAAGCAGAAAGAACGAAAGAGAGAGAGAGAGAGATGCAATGTAGA